ACCACTGGCTCTGTCGCATACCCTAGCTGTGCCAATACGTCTGTAACAATCCTTGTTACTCCCGGGGTCCCAGAAGCGGTCGCATCTCTTTCCTTCTTCTTCTGTCTTTGCAGGCGTACCTGACGTTGTTCTACCTGGTCCAAGCACCCAACTTCCACCCCTCTGTCAATGGTGGCCCAGGTGAGCTTAGTGCTACCTCCTCCATGTCTCGTCAATTCGACGGCCTCCGATGCTATGAGTAGCCCCAGGAAGATGGCGCACTGTGCTTCCTCCGAAATCCCATGGACCGTCCGCGCCCTCTTCTTAAATTCTTGAACAAAGGCCCCTAGAGTCATAAAATCCTCTTTGTTCATCGCTTCAAGGTCCGTGGTAGTCAACAACCCGTCTCCCAGGCGGTATTTCCTCTGCATCCCCTCCTTGAACCTTTCCCAGCTACCTTGAGCCGCATCTATGACTTTCTTCACCTCCTGATGGTAGCTGTGGAGGACATACTGAAGGATGCGTTGAAACTTTACAACATCCGGCCGCCCGACCAAAGCTTGTTCCACCCGCTCTAGCCATTCTGAGACTCTCTCTCCACTGAAATGGAAAGTATCGACCTTTGGGATGTTGCTCGGGTTCCTTTCATGTCGGTCGATGGCCGCGATGAGGTCATCGAGTGTCAGGCCTTTCTTGGGAACAACTGATGCGCCGCCAGTCTCAGGCATCTTGACAGCCTTTTCTTTTTAAGTTCCCTGACAAAAGAAAACAAGTACATCCTCTTATTCAACATTATACCATGATCGGTCTGTTCCAACCGTCCTACCTAACCCCTAGTACTTACTTTACCCACTGTTAACACGATCAACCCTCATACTTCCTCTACTTGGGTAGGTAAATTTCCTCACCTACACTTAGTCATTCATATATTCCTTCATTATCTTCGCATCACTCCTTTATGTTTTTTCTTATTCACTTCTCATACCCGGATGTCGTTCCACCAGGGACAACGGTAGGCTTTCCGTTATCCCCGGCAACGGCGCCACCTGTCAGGCGCATCGGTCCGGCACCKCACGGGGGCAGCRCGGGACCCTCCCGGCCKCGTCACGCAGGAGTTGGTTTTTATAACCCTTCGTCGCAATATACATGGAGCTTCCGCAAGCCGCTCCGACCGGGTGCGCCAGCCATACCTCTCGCGAGCCCCTACGACAGGATAGGGCCTACTCGAGGCACGACTTACCTACACCTTACGGGAGTTGTCACCTCCCTTCGGTGGGCGTATCCCCGGCGAGCTACCAGTCCACAGTACGAAAGCTAATCAGTTGCAATCGCACAGGTGGACCAGCCGAGGGCGTTTCTCGTTTGCTGTAGCATAGGGGGTACGCGCGGTAATACGCTTCTATCGGACCCGCACGTGAACCGACATTTTGGGGGGGCTGAGGTCCCAAGCGCGACTCATCGTCGGTCGACTAGGACGCATCCCAGACACCACGCGCACTCCACTTTACTAACACTCATACACACAAAACAACATATATACGAAACGACACAATACCAACAACGCGACAACGCTCCTAACCCCTCGGTAGCCAACCCATAACTTTCCAATGCGGAAATCAGATAAGCGTCGCGCGCTGAACTCGTATAAAACCGCGCGGACGCAGGGCATATTCATATCGACTTGCAATGCAGGCGTACACAATCAGTCGCAACGATGACGTACTATGTAGTGCCCATAATCAAGCGGTCCCTCGTGGATTCGAGTACCGCTTATGACACTCAAGTGTCGGACTTGAAGCGTCGTGAGGGCCTAACCCTTCACGACATTGCACGACTGAAGGAATAGTCGTGCAGCCGCCGAGGTACCTAAGGCTCTCGACCTGAGTGTCACGGTAGGCAAATCAAATAGGCTCTTCGCGAGGGAAAACCCCTCCCCTGCAGAGCCTAGGGCTTGGGATGTCCTGTACAAGGACCTCGAATCCTGGCCCAGGACCATACGTCCGACTAAGAAAATCATCAAAAAACAAGAGACAAGAATAAAAGGAGAGACCTCCTCTAAGTCCCTCAGTCTCAGCTCCTGAGTGGGCTCCAATCTGGGGGCTCTTCAACCCATGCAAAACATTCATCCCAAGTATACCCATGCATACATATATAAGAGTTAAATATGTGACGATCATTTTTCATGGTCTCACTGGGGTCTCTCACGATGATACGTATATGTGTGATCGCAGGCAACCAAATCCAGAATCTGATTCACAGCACATACCTGTCATCACATCAACAAACCAAATCAACAGCCCACACACTACACGGAGTCAACCCCAACCACCTTCGACATTCATACCCCTTGCTTTAGCCATGCAAGCCCCAAAACCTCATGTTCAACCAACCTTAATTAAATATTCAGCACCTTTGTCAAATGACCATTCAATAAAAGTCCGGGTGAAACCTTAGTAAAACAACGAAATCACCAGGACTAAAGTCTTTTAGGTTGAGTGTAGAGGGAGAGTTGAAATTGAGTCGTAGACCGACGAATCGGCAACCGACCTGTTATCAGTGATAACAGTAAGTGATCCTCAAGGGATCAAGCTGGATCTAGCCCTGAACTTGGATCAAATGATCAAAAGGACCTGTAACACACGGCAGACCAATTCCCAAGCTAAGATTATAAGTGTATGGAGAATACAACTCCATAATACATTCTCACTCACAATCTCCCTATAAGCTAAACTTAAGTCTACGTCTAAACCAAATGCTAAAGCTAAAGGTAGATCAACTACAGAATATCCCCTATTCTGGATGGATTGCCTGACTCGCCACTTGTCAAAATATAATCAATCTCCTCTAAACTAATAAATTTTTTTTTTTTTGGCAGCGCTTCCCGTAAGAAAAGTGTCTTTTCATAATTTACACTAGCCCAGATATGGGAGCAGAAATAATCTCTAACTCCTGGAAAGTCAAATTTTGTCTAACTCTCTGAATTAGTAGAAATTTGGGCAGCACTCCCTCTAGAAAGGGA